TACAAGTAATTTATTTGTTAATATTCTAATTATGTTTTCTAATAAATATATAAGGTCTTCTTATATATAAGGTTAGTCTTTTACATATTATGTTGAATTTTTTACTCCGGTTGCAATATTTTATATAAAGTTATTTTTCTTATTTAAATAATAAATCAATAAGAAATGAGAGGCAGCCTTCTTTGTTGTCATTGTTGCATAACGCTGTTGTTAGATTTTATGAATCCAAATATGGCGACTGAAACATTCTTAGTCTAGTTCGTTAAAGTCGCACTGGTACATAGAAATTATAATCGATCTTCTATCTCGGATTGCAAATTTCACCTTTTTTTAAGATTTCTGCAAGCAAAATACTAGCTATACAATCTTATGAACATTCATATACTCGCAAGACTTATTAAATCAATAATTTAGTATTTCCTAATTACATAATATAGACTTTTTGTTAAACTTTTTCATCTCCAGCAATATGGAAATGATTTAAACAAGGTTAAAAATCGCAGTTACTTAAATGATTTATGTACTTCGCATCTTATTCATATTTTTTGAGTAACGTGTTTTTGTATTTTGCTTAATAAAGAAGTCAATCTGAAAAAATTTCATCATTTTTAAAAAGTAATTAGTGAAAAATTTATGATCACAAAATTCTAATAAATTTTTCATCCCTTGAATATTTTAGAATTTTTTTGTTTTTTGTGTAATTTGCAGAAAAAATTATGAAAAATTTTTTATGTTTTTAAAAGTAATTAATTAAAAGATTGAGCTGCAAAAAAAAAAGACTTGCAGAAATAAATTTGTTTTTGCAATTTTATGCTTTTGTTTTTACATAAATTTTAATTTTTAATTCATTATTTGTTAATTAATTAATTCAATTGTACAAATACATTGACTCTTGTACAATATTCTTCGTTCATTCATTCATTAAATTGCAGAATTTCAGAAAAAAAATTCATAAATGCAATATAAAAATTGCATTAATTAAATGCAGATTTAATTCATAAATTGCAACAATCTTATATTACAAAAAAAATTTATTCTACAGTATTACACTTATATTTCAATATTATTGCTTTCAACAAAAACAACAATTAAGAGCATAGTGTGCAACAATATTCCAACAACAAAAAAAACCAAATGAAGATGTTGTACATTTCCAATCAACATTGTACATCAATGTGTTAGTGTATTGCATTATAAAGTTGTTTACTTTAAAATTTTCTTCGATTTTGTTAAAAAGATGCACTAATTTGCATAAAAAATTAAAAAAAAAGAGAAAAAAAATTGTTTCAACCAGAACACAATTATTTATCTTTATTGCTTTAATGATTATGAAGTGATGATGATGATTATGATAATGGTGATGTTTATGATGGTAATAATTTTGAAATTCGAAAATTTGATCTTAATATTTTGCTTCTATTTTACATACTAGTCTAATTTTATTAAGAATTAATCGAAAATTATTACCGCAATTTTCTGTAAACCAAAAACTTTTTACCACTGATTGCTAATAGTAATTTGCAGTTCCTAAACAGGAACGTCATTAACAAGAGCAGTAAATATGGATTAAAAATATAAATTTAAAACTTATTAGATACATTTTAGCACTTACATAGACAATTGCACCCAAAATTATGCAATATATGCAGTTAAATTTTTAATTGAATTCAAAATGAAAGTAGCACGCGGTGTCATCATAATCTCTAATACTGACGAACTAATGAGGATAATTCAGTTTTCTTTCACATAAATGCTATGTTTACTTTTATTTTAAATTTTACTTGTTTGTTCCAAAATCAAAAATATTATCAAAAATGTGTTTTCCATCACTCTGCAATTCTAAAAGCAACCGGATTTCTTAATATTATTTTTTTGCTGTTGTTTTTTTCTCATTTAATTGTGTTGACATTCGATTGAATATAAATGACTGTGATGGCAGTATTAGAATGTTAGAAAATGCCACTTGCATAAACAACATTAATTTCAATAAGAAGCTTGGTTTTTTTTTTAATAGATTTTTATTGACTTAAAAAAATCAAATGTGATGAAAAATTTATCCATAAATAGTTTCAAAATAATTTAGATTAGAACAATAATTTTTTTTTGTTACAAATATTATTATTATTATTATTAAGTGTAACAATGTTCGAATGGTTTCATGGAAATATATACAAGCAGAAAGTGTTGCATTACATCTATGGGATATTTACAAGAGAAAACATAAGTCGTTTGTATAATTTGTTTGTATAATAATAGAAAATTCAGCAAGAGATGATATGTTCGGGGAATATGTACTCGAATTGGAGAATTATCATGACAGCTCAAATAATAATGTATGCCCGCTCTAAGTGAAAAATTACAAGTATAATATATGGATAAGATCATTGTAAAGATAAAAATATTGCACCTTGAAAATAATCCCGCAAAATCTAAAAGTTCTTAATATTTTAATTAGGCATGTTGTTGAAAACGCAAGAAATTTTTCCATATTTTACTCCAAATCACATCACGATATAGCAAAAATTACCGCTCTTATTCAAAATTTTCTGAAATACCACGATATTTTACGATCATCCAAACTCAAACAATATTTTAATTTAATAGCGGAACATATTGAAATAGCACATGGTTTCCTTAAATCAGTTGCATCTACATTTTGATTTATATTCAAAAAAATAAAGATGTGCTGTTCGACGGCCTATTGAAAATAGCAGTGTCTGAAAATTAAGTAACTGCGAACTCAACGAAGGAAGTTTGCAGATGATTGTAGAAACCAAAAAATGTGTGAAAGAACATTTTGTTTTAACAACAATTAAAACCAAAAGAAAAGGAGAAAAGCTCCAATATCTATATCATTTGAACTGGAATACGTAGAAGTGAACCGTTGTATGAAGTATACACGTGCATTAAACGTAAACATGTGTAAACGAATGAAGTGTACATGTGTATTAAACTATCTAAACCACCACCTACATTAACCAATTTTGTAACCATATTCAGCACAGCACACGGTAGATATAAGGTAGCAGCATTCACAAAACCACTACATGTGTATGTGAATATAGTAACAAAGTGAAAAAAATAAATTTTCTTCTGGCTTATAAAATTAAATTTTCTTTTGCAATAATGTTATTTGGCCGTAATTCTTTAATAAAAGTTAAATATGTCTGAAATATTTTTAATACAACAAAGTCAATAAAATTATAAACGTTAGTTTTAGTTTTACACTTAAGTGACCAAAAAACATAGTTAATAAGAAAAAAACAAATGTTAAAGAACAAAAAATGAACAATCGAAATATAACTAGAACACCATCACTTGTTATTTTGCCATCATTATGAGAAAACATTTCAATAGATTCAATCGCGATTCCCGCATTTACAATTACATATATCATTATATACATATGCATTATCATAAACATTTAATGTGTCTATAAAATTTTTATACTTATTTATTGTAATTTTATGTATATAGAACTATATCAATTCAAATTTAAAATAATCAACATAATATAGAACTTACAATAAATAGTTTAAAATCAAAAACAACCGAAGACACAGAAAGAAAGAAAAACAAAACTTGTAGTCTAGTCGATTCAAGGATAAACAGTACTTGTATGCCAATCAAATATGTAATCAATTTATACTTAATACTCGTTTCATTCGATATATATGAGTACATATATTATATAACCTATATGGCATTTAAGTGAACTGAACTTTGATATTTTAGTTGCACATTTTAAATTTTATCATTTTAAATTCAAATATTTTAATGTTATTCAATTGTTGTGTGCGGATTGTGTAAAATGAAAATCGTCTCTTTTGGGACGATTTTTTTATTAAATTTATTTTATTTAGAATGTTAAGGGGTTTTTTTTTCTTCTATGGTTTGGCATAGTATTTTTTTTTTTGTGATAAAATTTTAAGAAAAAAATATTAGGAAATTTCTGGTTTTTTTTTTGTTTACCAAAAGTATGATGTAGTTTGAATTTATTGTTGCAAGAACACGAAGTTGAAGTTTAACTTGTAAAGAAGATAAAAAGTTTAAAATGACTTGGAAAAGACTTAAACAAGAAATAGTCAATTAGGTTAAGTTTTATTTAAATTTTATTTGTTTAAACTTCAATTTCGCCATTGTTCATATGATTTTGGCATTATTGTGAAAAGGATATTAAAGGTGCACAATTAAAATGATTTCCAACAGATGTATAGATGCCATTTTAAAACGTATATGTCACAAGATATATGTATTATTGTATGTATACACGATTCCTTACAATTATACAAACATTGCTGTCTGTTGGTGAAATTGCTGACTGATATATGCATGTATAATCTGCCTTTTCCAACTCAAATTTGATATAAATTTGAATTGTGTTATTCTTAATCCCGATTTATTTAGATTATACAAATTATTTTTTTTATATAATTTGCATAATATTGTTTATACAATAAAAATATTTTGTTGTTTAAATGAGGATTAAATCTAAGTTTTCAGTTAATTTTTCATGTATAAAAGCTTATTGTATTGGAAATTAACTTTAAATTGAAGCGATCAGCACATGAGTGACCTACCCAACGTTTTTGCAAAAATGAGTAATTATGTTTAATAGAGCTGTATGGCTTAGAGAATTTTTCTATATTTTCAAATTACTAAGTTTACTCCTCTTTTCACTATAATTTGACATAAGTTCGTTTATTAAAAATTAAATGTTTGAATATTTTAATTAACAATTGTATAGAATTCGATAATTTGATTAATTTTCACTCTTAAACTACTTAAGATTTTCAAATGTTGATTCCGAAATAATGGAAACTATTACGTATAATAATAATCAGAGCTATTTTCTTAATTCTAGAGTAGAATTTTTGAAAAACTTTTAGATTTCTTAGCATGTTAACAATATTGAAGAAATTTAATTGCTTAAAAAATTTAAAAAATTAAATTAAATATAAAATTTTTATTAATAATTATGATTTTTTTTTTATTTTTAGCAAATTGAAGGATATGAACCTGGTATAGATTATCCAGCATATGATACAGTTCCAAAAGGATTATCATTTTCATGTCAAGGACGTTTACCAGGTTATTACGCTGATGTTGAAACCCGTTGCCAAGTATAACCATTATCAATTTAAATTTTTAATATTTTTAAACAAATTTATTAAAATTCAAATTTCAATTTAATTCAAAACATTATTTTTAATTTATTTTTAAAATTTTTTTTTTAGGTATGGCATTGGTGTCTTCATTCTGGTCATTCATATTCATTTCTTTGTCCAAATGGTACAGTTTTTAATCAAGCTGTACGTGTTTGTGATTGGTGGACAAATGTTAATTGTCCTGCATCTGAACAATTATATGATAATAATGATGAACTGTATAGAGATGCAGCTGGAAATCCTATTTGATATGAGGGGATAAAATATCAAAATTTATCAAAAATTAATAATAGAACAACATCAAAAATAATAAAAAAAATTAAAACATCATCTAAAGATTCATTAATAAGATCACAATTAATATCAATACAATCACCATCACTATCATCATCATCATCAGTATTTAATCGTAATAATCAAAATAATAATAATATTGAAATTTCAACTATAAAATCATCAAAAATAAATCATAATGTAGATAAAATACGCCGGGGGCGTAAAAGACTGCATCAAAAACCAAATTCATCAATAGAACCAAATACAATAAACAGCCAGTACATTCATAATAATAATAATAAAAATTTAAATGATATTAGTAAAAATAAATTTAGTAAAGTAACAATTTCTACTTCATCAATACCAGAAATTTTATTAACAACAACAACAGCAGCAACAACAACAACTACTATTACAACTATAGCACCAAAATATACAAGAATAATGCAAAATAATTTTAGAGGTACACACAAATACTACAATAATAGTAATAAATCATCCCAAAGTAATAAGAATAGAATAAATACAATTAATAATAGAAAATATAAAATTAGTAAAAATAAATCCCATAAAAATAGAATACATTCAGATTATTATGATGATGATTTAAAAAATTATAAAAATATGATTAAAAATAAATATAATATTGATTATGATCATTCTTTAGATGATGAATATGAAATTATTGAGGCCATCGAATAATAAATTTTTCAAATAAATTTATAAAAATAATTGAAATTATTTGAAATTTAGCTTTTTTTTAATTTTGGAAATTTTGTTTGTTTCAATTAATTTTTTGATAAATTTCTTGATTAACAAAACAAATATTAGAAAAATTTAAATATTTTAATTATATGTATAACATTTTCATTCTCTCAATTCTATAATCATAATTTAATATTTAATAACAAAACAAAAATTAATAAAATATTTATTGTAAATATATATAAAAAATTTTTAACATTATATTTCAATAAAAGAACAAAAAACATAAAAAAAAAAATATTAATAATTATTATAGTTTAATTTAACAATTTTATATTTTATTACTTAGTAAAATAATTAAGAAATTCTAGAATTAATTTTTTATATACTCGTATACAAAAGAATCAGAAAAATAAATAACATTTTCAGCGAAATATATTGCAAGTGTACATGTATATAATGTATATAATTAAAATATGTAAAATATACCTACATATATATGTAATTTATTGTATGTGATAATGAATATTAAAAATAAATACAAAAAAATATATTTGCCGCAATTTTATTTTGAATTGAATTTGAATTTTATAATTTTTAACCCAAAAACCCATTAAGTTCTGACTAGTAGCTAATATTCTCATTAACATAATTAGTTATGCCTCTAATTTATAAACATATAAATTAATTTAAAACATAAAAATAAAGTTCAATTTATTGTGCATTCGCTAATGGATAGCTTTTAGGCCAAAAAAATATTTGTATTTTGCACAAAAAATTCAGTTTTCAATTTTCCATATTATTTATAGAAACGTTACACGTCTTGTATTCAAAATTGTCATTTGGTTATAGGTCACAAAATGCCAGATTTGTGACTTAAAATTTGTTGCTAAAACCTGCAGAGAACGCATAGAAGTTTTTCATGGTCTTCATTTGAATGTTTTAAGTATTTTTATTGCCAGTTGTCAAAAAAAATATTTCTTTACAAAATTTTTATAATTAAAATAATTTTAAAGTCTCAATATTTGTAAATTTTTGCATTATAATGTCAAATGATTATTTGTCAAGTTAACAATTCTGACATCACGCATCAGGGCAATTGTTTTAATAAAAATTTTTAATAAATGTCACTTTTACAATATTACCTGCCATTACCATAGATGAGTAGATGTTAAATTCATCCTATTACATAATTTTTATTATACAATAAAGTGCTTTCAAGAAATAAATTTAGAGTAACTTCTAGATGAGAAGGTTTGACGACAATTTAATAATAGTGCAAGTTACCTTTAATATATTTTAATTTTATTTGAAAAAATATATTGTTTATCACAATATGATAGTGAATTTTAAAATTAAAGTTGTCAAACATTCCTATGCCATTAGTTAGTGTATTATTTTCCTAAATTTTTTATAATCAATAAAAATTTAAATTTTAGCTATTTTTTTGCTTCAAGTGGCGTTTGAATTACACTACATAGCTTATGTATTTATTTTATACATACGTAACTGCTAATTCATATAAAAATTTTGCTTAAATAAAATTGCATATGTTTAGGATGAAGATAATTAACTTCTTTTTGTTTCAAATTGATTCACAAAATTTTCTGATTGATATATTAATGTGACAGAATGCAAACAATAAAAAAATTTGTAAAAGTTTACATTCATTGCAAAATTACAAAATTATATATTATATGAACTTTCGTATACATATATTGTAATATTTGTACTAAATATAAGTATATTAAAAAATTACCTTAGAAAATATTGCAAAATTTAAAATATTGGCAAATATAGATAAAATATACTTTACTTTTCTTAATTGTTATACATTGTAGGAATTCCTACCAAAAAAAAAAAAAATTTCGATATGTGTTAACAGCTTTAACTTTAAAAGTCAATCAGCTGTCTGCCATTTTAAAATGTTATTATTGTTAAGTCAGTAATAGAAACATCAACAAGTGCAATTAGTGAAGATCGGTCCAATAAATAATAAAAATAATATTTTATAAAAGTTTGTTGTATTTAATTTGTGAAATATTAAATTATATATTAAGAAAAATGTGAGTTTCGAATAAAATGGTACCGAACTTAATAAAATATTGTAAGAAAATCATGTTTTATAATATTCGATTTACCACGTTTTATGGTAAGTAATTAAAGAACATTACAATAATTTTAGAGTAAAGCGAAGCTTTATTTTATTAATTATTAGTAGTTGAAAGTGAATTTATAAAATACAGGTGTTTATATTGTAATTATATTCAAAGCTTTTTTCGAAATAATTTTAACTCTTTTCGAAATATGTAGTTAAAACTTCAGTATTATTATTATTACGATGTTAATATTGAAAATATTGCATACATTTAGGATGATAAAGTAAAATTAAAACACAATTTTATTATTGAGTAGAAAAGAATACTTTTGATTATTAATATTAATCTGTTATACCAGTGTTTATAGCACATAAGTTTAATTTTAAAATCATAATCATAAATATTAACATAATATTTTGCTTATAAAGGCTTACAATCTTGTTAGTACACAATTAAAAAATTTCGACTTACTCATATTAATTTGAAAAGTGAACTTTTGAAGTACTTAAGTACAGTTCTCCCCGGTTAAATGCACCACGCTTAATTGATTTTCCCCTTTTATTGAACGAAAAACTAAGGCAACTTTAAATCCCTATTAAAATATACAAGAATAACATCGTTTAATTGAGTCCCGTTTAATTGAACAACTCGCTTAAATGAATCTCTTTTTTTGGTATTACCTTATAAAAACTGTGAAAAATTCCCCTGTTTATTGACCTGATAACGGCATAAACATTGTACGGAAATTTTTTATCCCACAAAATAAATTTATTGAAAACTTAGATGAAATGGAAACCTTTATTATTAAGAATCATTACAAACATAACCAAACGAAAATTACAAATTTTTTTAAATAGGTTTAATTTTTTATTATTCTATTTGTTGTTGTTAAACTAGCAATAGTAAATTTATTGAAAAATTAGATATAACGTATGAAATATTTTGTTTTCTTTGTAATATGAAATATTTATTTTTAATTTTTGTTATGTTATGTGATATAAAAATATTATGATTTAAATATTTTGAATTTGAATTCATAGTTACATTACTTAGATGGATTTAAAATAAAGAAAAATTTAAGTTTTTAAATTTTGAAATAAAAAAAAATTTGAGTTTTAGTATTTCATTAGTGTATCCACTATTTTAAATATAGCTTTTTACCTAGGATATTTTGATAAGTATATGTAATAGGATATGCTTCCTATTGTTTTTATTAATTTTATGCAGTAGCAGGATCAAATTCGTTTTTGCGCCTGATCTTCAATAGCGAGTATTCGTTTTCATGCGTAAACGATTCAGTTAAAAAAATTCGTTTTATTGCACCAATTGTTCAATTAAACGGGATTTTTTTAATTGATTTACCCGCTTAATTGATACAAAAAGTGTGCAACTTTTCTCGGTTCAATTAACCGGGGAGAACTGTATATAAGTATGTGTATTAATTTAAGGAACATTAATTGCATTAAACATTTTTTTTAATAATGTAATTAAAATTTTTACTGGCTCTGAGTTCGAAACTTTAAAACGTTCGAATATTAATATTCTCTCTCTTATTCAACATTATCGCGATTATGCTTTATTGACAATAAATTTTGCATGTTGCATCTACACATAGATTTTGTGATTTTTAGTATTAACGACCTACATTTGAATTAAGAGTTGCCGTGGGAAGGAAAATTCAAGAGTTAATTGCAATTCGAATATGAGATTTTAAAATAGAAAATTCTGAGTTAAATATATATTGTAAAAAATTATAATTATAAATAATAGGGCAATTTTTCATAATTAAATGAGATACTGTTATAAGTATATACTCCTATACTACTTTCATAGAGCTTGTTTTTTAAATCGTTACTTCTATTAGAATATTTGAAATTTGTTCGTAATTGATAATAGGTACATTAATGGAAACAAATTAGAATTCAATAACAATTAATTAGTTTAATTTTTTTTTTCCTTTTTCACTCCTAGTGCGCAGTATAGGGTTAGTACATATAGTATTATAGATAGTCATGCCCTAGTTTAATAGAGTTATAGAGTTAAAACTAGGTAGGCCATAGTTTTTTCTTTATATTAATTATTTAAGATTATTAATATTTATTGTTTATTTTTCTTAGTTTTTAATATCGAACATTATGAATACATGAAAATTACTTATATACTATATTTATAAGTATTGTATATTAAATTATAATATTACATATAATTTTAATAGTGATTTGACCGGGGTTTGAACCGAGACCCCTCGATTAAAGGACCGATGCCAATACAAGAAGAAATATAAGAAAAAAATTCTGGATAATGATGTGGAATTACATTAACTGTACCTTGAATTGAAATGTAAAAAAGAAATTATATAACCCACCGTTTTACTTATTTAATATTTCTTCAATCATTTGTTAATTATGTAAAAATTTGCATTATTGCTCATTAACATTTTATTCATACATGTATACATTTATGTATGTATGAACGTGTGTATGATTACTGTTCATTACTTTTCCTGTGTTATTATACACATTAAAAATTATTACTTTTTCACATCATTATAATATTTTTAAATAGACTTAATCTGTATTGAATGAAATTACACTACCTCTTATTTTACATAAAAATTTTACGTTTACAAAAATTCAAATGTATCAAAGTTGAAATTCATTGTACAAAACATAATTACATGTATAACAGGTACGGGTACACAAATACTTGTATGTATATATGAATTGGAGGATGTTATTTTTTTTTTCATTCGTTTATAATAATGCCTAAGGAAATCTTTGCAATTTTTTCAAATTAAACAACGTCACATGTCTATGATCTATAAACTAATCCGCAATGATTCAAATACCCACTTTATTTGTACCGCACAACTTGTAATTAAGATTTTTGTTGTCTCTGTATACAACCATTTTGCTAGGATTAATTTATAATATTCTTATATAAAATATGAATATTTTTTTATTATAGGAATTATGCACATACATACATAATGTATATTGAAATATAAAAATTGTATGATTGATTGATGGCTTAATTGCTTATTTTGGAAATTTAGTATGATTTTTTTTTGCTTTTTTTGAAATTTTATAACATGATCATTTTTTTTTTCCTATAATAAAATTTAAAAGTTTTTGAAGTATGTATATCGAAAAATCTGATTAAATAATGATAGATCGATTGTACGTACACATTTTTATTATTATTTGTAAATTATTAATTATAATTAATAAATAAATTTGTTATACAGTTTTGCTTTTAACCAAAATATTCAGGAAATATTGTTTTTAATTTAGAAAGGAAATGATAATTATGTCGAACTTTGATATTGTTATTGAATTGTTAACAAAATTTTTAAGTATTCAAAGTACCGAAAAAAAAATTCAAATTAATTTTGAATAATAAATTGATTTAATTGTTTTTTTTCTGATACTCTAATAAATTTATAGTTATCCATTCATTTAATTGAACATACCTACCTACATATGTAGAGTTATAATTTAAATATTTTCTTGTAATTTGATATTTTTTGTTAGTAATAAAATTAAGGCAGGTGTAGAAGCAGTTTAATTATTTTTGGTTAAAAATTTTAATTAATTAGAGTAGTTTTGAAATTTTAAAATTAATAATTTCGAAAATTTATAGAAAAAGAACAAATCCATAATTTCCAAATCTATTCGTTTGAATTTAAGTTAATGTTTTTTATTGAGCCGGAAATGTATATACCAATTTAATGAATCTTTGACATTAAAACAAGCTTAAACTGGATAATAGAAGATTATTCGGGTCATAAAGAAATCTTTAATAGTGAGATTATTGTTCTGATTCTAGCAATTTTAACTTCAGGTTTATACTCTAAAAAGCAACTTAGACATCGATAAATTCAGAGCTACACTTTATAAAAATGGTGACCAATAAATCTTTTCATTTTACAATGCAGTACATTATATGACCACGTAATACATTCTCCTATAAAATCTGCAATATAATATTTTTAATATAGATTATGAACCCTTTTTAAAACATTTAAAAATTTATACTTCTCGTTTTCGAATTTTAAATTATATAAAGATGAAGTATAAAGGATTGGATGGCTATATTTAATTTTGTAAATTAATATAAAATGTAAATTAAAGTTTTTATAGAATAAATTCGTGTTCTGTATGTTTTAATTTTGATTCGACGAGGTTAATTCATATACAATATGTATGGTATTAATTCCATATAAAACCTCACATATTATTGTTTTAAAATGAAAATTGCTTCGTAATTAAGTCATAAATTAAAGCAAAATAAGATAAAGGAATTTCTCATGAGCGTGATGACTACATTATGTTGTTCTGGGTGTTCTACTTTATTTAGGAATTATATTTTATAAGAGTTATATGACAATTTACCATAGTACTGAAAAAGCTAAAAGTTAAAATTTTCTTAGAATATTTTAATTAACATTTTGTATGCCTTGTTATTAAATAGATCTTTGTAAAATTTGAGAAATGCATGTATGTATGTATGTGTTCTAGAAGAAAATTATTTTTGGAGATGGCATAGAAAATTATGAAGAAAACAATTTTTTTTTTATATAGCAGACATTTTAATAGCTGTTTTTTTGAGATCAAATAATAGGGTCGTTGCAAAAATTGCTCTACTTAACTTCCGAAATTTTAATTAACCAAATTTTATGCGTTTTTGAGTTATCTAGAATTCGACGCTAAGCAAAATACGCAAAAATACATATTGTATATTTACATATCTCTGGTTTTTGATTTTTACCGTTTTTCCTGCTTGCCAATCATATACACATAAATGTACTGAACTATTCCATATTTAATATTTTTAATAGTATTTATTTATAGTAAGATTTCTTCATTTTTTTAAATATTCAAAACAACACAAAGTGCAAATAACTTATAATTAATGATGCAAGACTTAAAAACAAATAAAATTTTTTAAAATTAAAAAAAAAAATTAACTAAATTATTATGTGGTGCTCTTCTCTGGTATTTCAAAAAAGTTAGGTTAAATTAATAGTGAGTTTTGGAAGTAAATAGTTTTT